ACTGGTGGTTTCCCAGCCCTGTGGTCAGGGTGCTGCTGGGACCCTCCAAACCACCAGCAAGACCTCCGAGGAAGACAGCCCCTTGGCCAGGGGGCTGGGAACCAACAGCAGCATGAGGGAGGGGAAGGGCAGCTCTTTGCTCAGCACCAGTAAAACCACCAACACCCTTGAGCCCTCCCTGCAGTGCCCAGGTCAGGCCCTGCCAGCAGCTGGGGAGGGCACACAGAGGGGAGGGCACAGCAGCCAGGCTGGGCTCAGAGGGCATTTCCGAGGCTCCTTGCTATGGATTGTGCTGGGCTTTGGTGCCAGAGACACGGCAGAGAGGTGAGCAGGGGGAGAAGAGCCTCATGGCAAGTGGCTGAACATCAGGAGCCTGAGCTCAGGGAGCAGCCCACTGCCTGGTGCCAGCAGGTCGGACCCCCCACCACAAGCCTGGCCACATCCCACACTGACTCTGCTTTGGCATTGGCCACGATGACACGGGCAATGCTGCTGTTGACCAGTGTCACTGGGACACACACACACACCCAAAAAGCGGAGGCAGAGGTTTCTGAAGGCACTTCTCACCTCTCTCCAGGGCGAGGAGGAAATCCCGGTTCCTCTGGAGCTCCTTCATGAACTCTTCGTTCTGCAGGAAGAGCGCGATCCGCTCGTCCTCCAGGTACTGCTTCCACCGCCGCTCCTGCTCCAGGGAGCCCTGGCCCCGAGGGACGAGTCCCCGTGGCACGGGCTGCCGGCAGCCGGGGGAGCCCCGGGTCGGTCGGTGGGCTCGGGGCATGCAGGGGCCCCCCTGGAGCAGCACCTCAGGCTGAGCCCAGCCTCCTGCTCCTCTGTTACACCGCTGCACCCCTAACCCCGATGGGCATCGTGTCCCTCCCTATGCCAGCACCCGACAGCCCGAGGCACCATCCCCCTGGCCAGGCTCTGCTCAGGATGGTGCTGCTCAAAGGGAACAAAGAGGGACAGGGCAGGGGCAGGAGGGGACAGACATCCCATGTGGGAACAAGGACCTTTCCATCTGGGGTCAGCGTGGCACGGGGAGGAAGCGGTGCCTCTGGAAAAGCTCCTTTGTGGAGCACAGTCTTGCAAAGATATTTAACTTTAAACTGTGAGGTTGAGCCAAGGCAGAACCTGGTGCGGAGAAGGGAGAAGGGTCTCAGCCAGCGTCGCTGCTTTTATTTCCCCTTATCTAAAAAGCAGAGACAGCAAATT